GGTTCACTATCACCAAACTCCATCAGAGCATTCGCTTCACATCTTTGTAGCATAGCAGCTGATATGTTCTCGTTTACTAATTTATTTGTATAATATTGTTTTTTTTTTGAAGGGGTTCGACGTTTTTTGGTATCATGACATTTTTGATATTTTCCTTTATAAGTGCAATGGAAAATGGCTCTATTATTATTCGGAGGTTTTACATCTAATGTTCCTTTTAACTTACTATTGCATGACTTACATTCACCATCAAATACACAATAATATAATCCAAATTCATAAATCTTAGCCCTTTTATAAATAATTGTGCAAGCAATTTTGGTCTGCTCCCAAAAATGGCTGTGAACTATTTCTGTCTAAGTTCCAGGATTCAAAATTTTATAACTGTGTTTAAGGTATCTTGAATAGTTTAACTGATACCTATTTTCACATACTATTGCAGCCCATTCTTCTTTGCTCAGACTTATTTTAAAATTAATTTTATTTTTTCAACATCATTTTGAAACCTATTTTCGATTTCAAAATCACTTGAATCATTGGTCATTTTTGAATCATTGAAATTACTATCAGGCGGTTTTATATGAATTATATTTATCAAGTCTTTTCTGTTACACTTCACTATAGTGTATAACGATTTCAGTGATATGTCTCCTTTTAACTGTTGTTTTATATCTGCCCAAACTGTATGTGTCGGACCAACTGTCATTTTATCTCCATCGAAAATTATAGTTTTGTACACATTGATGGCTTTTACTATATCATCGAATGGTATACTGATTTTCCTCGGCATGATTGAAATTCTATCGGAAATTAGAATTTTTAATTTAATTATTCATACAATGTAATCCATTTAACTCTAACCTATTTAATATTTAAATAGCATATTTAATTGTTTGTACATATTTTAAGGGTTTTTAGGGCGTGAAATCCTTAGTTCCAGTTCACAGTAGAAAAAAATCAACCGTAAAAATCGCACTATTGGTTAAAACCTGTAATCTATCGTTACCGCATATGGTTTATAAATATTAATACTCAAATTGTAGAAACAAAAATGATAATTTTAGTAGTTAGAGCAATGATTGTATTGATTTTACAATTTTGTGTGTTTTTTATTTAATTTTAATTTTTTTTTTTTTGTGTCTGTCATCCCTAACCAATCCAACCTAACCCGGGGGCAGTAAAAAAACTTCAATTTTCTTCATCAGCAACTTTTATGTTAGTAAAGTGAACCTAGTTGGTTCTTTGGAGGATCAATAGTTTTCAAACAAGCCAGGAAAAACAAAAAAAAGTTAGTAAAAAACGGTAATTTTTATGCAACGCAAATTTTCGAAAAAATCGATTTTGTTTTTTGGTGTAACACACGAAATAATAATTGTAGATAAATGAAAATATTCACCGTATGTTAATTGCATTGTTTATACTCTGTAAGAATTTCAAAATGTTTTTAATTTTTTGAGCTATTTTTAAGCCTATGAAATTTTTGGCTTATTAATTTTTTTTTCATGTCAATAAAAAAATTTTTTTTATTTAGTCAAAAACTTGAAAATTTAATTCAAGGTTTCTCATAACTTGTTGTTGGTGAAAATTAAAAAAAAAAAGTTAAGCGTAGATCTAAAACAATTTTTTATTGTGTCTAAAGTTGGAATTTTGACAAAATACGTAAAAATAATTAAAATTTGCAACTTTTTTTCATTTAGAAATTTATAAAAATTCCTAAATTATACTTCAGATTTGAAAATGTATCACAAGATTCTTCATAAGATTCCTACTTCTTACAGTAAAAAAAAGTTCACTAAATAGTCAAATTAATTGTTTATGAGCGTTTGAAATTAGACATAAGATATTCACTTATAAACTAACGATTTCTCACGGAACAATTTTCTCATTTTGTTGTAATTAATAAACTAATGACTATAGACACTTTAAATTTTCACCGAGTGTTGAGATTAACATTTTCTATACACGATTGAATTTTAAAAATATTTAGTATTTTTAGTTAATTGTAGGCATAAGAAGTTTTCGATTTTTTTTTTCTATAAATAATGATAAGAATTTTTGGTTTAATAAAAACACTTGAACATTTAATAAGGTTTTTCATAAGTTATTATCTTTGCAGTTTAATAATTTTAAAAATGCATAAACGCGATTTTTTTATAAGTATTTAACGTTCGTATTTCAACAAAATTCATCAAAATCTCGAAAATTTGATAGTTATTTTGTAATTAAAATTTATAAAATGTACAATTTTAATAGGTAAGGAATGAAAATTTAATTCAAGGTTTCTCATAAGTTATTCACATTGTAACTAATAATTCTAAAATATATTTAAGTACAGTTTTATTTTATAGATATTTTAAGTTCAAATTTGGATGAAATTAGGTATTAAAACGATTTTAGTTTTTTGTTGTAATTTTAAAAACATTATTCGTATTACATTATATTTAAAGAATATTATTATATTTATAGGTTAAACACACATCAATGTTTTTAAATGCAATTGTTGACTTATGTCTCATAGAAAAATAAATAAATTTCTTTTTTAGCAATAATATCATAAAATAATATGTAATAATCATAATATATAATAATATTAAATTTATAAAACATATTTTATAAATTATTGTAACATGATTTTCCATAAACTAAGTGACATTTTTGTAAACAAAGTATGAATGTAAAAGTTTTACAATAATCTATTTGTTTTCAACCTGTTATAAATACTTAACTATGAAAATAATGTAAAGTACTAAAGTACATGTAGTTACTGTGTCTTAAGATTTCCAAAAATCTCAAGAAGTCAAGACAATATACATCAATATAATAATTAACTTAACAAAAATGTAATGACTATATATTATAATATATAAACACGTGTAATTAGCATAAAATAGTTATTAAATAATCTACAATTTCGATTTGTTATAAATTATTATAATGAATGATAAGATATAATAATAATGTTGTTTTTGATAACAACAAAATGATAACGAAAGTGGTGGTCTAATCAACTATAATTGTAGCAAGCTAAACTAGAAGCTTGACGGTCACGCTCCGGGTGGCCGTTTTTAATCAGGTGTACGAAGAACGCTTAATTTCGAAAAAAAGATCGCGCAGCTACACAAGCAACCAAAATATTTAGAGCTCCTGATCTTCACGAAAACGGCCACCAGGAGCGTGACCGTCAAGCTTCTAGAACGAATACGGACTGTTAGTTTATACAGATATTCAGACAATACTAAATATATTTATTATTTTATGATTTAATTATAAATCTATTATGAGTATAAAATTACAATAAATTTAATTCATTTTTGCGAAAATATTGCATTTGAAAATGTTATTGTGTGTAAAAAATATTAAAATATACGTTAAAAGTTTCAAGTACCTACCATGTATAATAATTTTAAATTACAACTAAACACTCGTTGCTCTTCGTTTAAAAATCTAATTTCATTCAAATTTGAACTCCAAATATTTATTAAAAACAATGCTTGTATTTTTTTTTTAGATTTTCTGGCTACAGTATTATTACTTTTTATGAGAAACCTCAATATTACATTTTCAAAATGTAGAAATAAATATTTAAAATTTAATTAATTTTAATTTACAAAATGTTTTCCAAATTTTCGTGATTTCGACTAATTTTATAAAAATAATTTTAAATTATAAATAAATACCTTGGTAGTTTTAAAGATTCTTATGAACTATGCCAAAGAAAATTAAAATTATAAGCTACCAATAAACTGTAAGACATTTAAAACTATCCTTAGAAAATTGTACAATTCAATTTATTAAAAAGCGGTACACAGTAAATATACTTAACATTTTTTAAATTGATCTAAAAAATGTCTAGGAGCAATAACTTTAAAAAAAATTTTAAACTCTCAGGAAAACCCTTAAAAATATTTAGAAATTACCCTTATTAAAGTGTTAACTACTGAAGTGAAAAAAAAACACTTCTACAATTTACACTTCTGTAATTTTAATATTGTTATACACTTATACTTAAGTATACAGTAGAAATCACTATAACGAGCATCGCTTAGAACGAGATACTGCTTACAACAAGCAAAACGTTAGGTCCCGGCACAAGGCCATAATATGATTGTATGTTAAAATATACGTCTACAACGAGTATGGTTATCGTAGTAAGGAGTTATCGGCTATAACGAGTAAAATAAAACGAACTTGACTAACGACCTTCCGGTTACTACGAACAGGTACCTGCAAGATAACAACTTTTGGCTATTATTTAGGTCGATTAACCATTGACATAATATATTATCTTTAGTTGTGTAGATATGGATTACTTATAAAAATAAACATTATTCCTATAAATTCTGGTGTTTTCAAGTTAATAAAAATTACAAATAGCGTCAGTTGTGTGAAGACGTTCCACCATGTCGCGTCGTCAGTTTACGTTGGACGAAAAAAATCGGAATAATCGGGCGGTTAGAAAATGGCGAGAAAAACAGCGTGATCGCAAAAGAATTTGGCACCTCTTCGTCGAAAATTTCAACCATATGGAAGAATCGGGATCCGTTGAAAAATATGTTTCAAACCACGTCACTTAAAGCAAAACGACTGCGTACTGCACAGCATAAGGACCTTGAAAAAGCTGTACTAGTATGGTTCAAACAACAACGGTTATTGAATGTGCCTATAAGTGGTCCTATTTTGCAAGCAAAAACTGACCAACTGGCTGAAAAAATGAAAATAGAAAATTTCAAATGCTCTGCATCTTGGATTCAGCGTTACCGACAGCGGCACAACATTGGTTTCGGCAAGATCTCAGGTGAGTCATCTGCAGTTAATACTGATATCTGTTCTAATTGGCTGGCTAACGTTTGGCCATCCATTCAAGCAGGTTACTGTGATGATGAAATTTATAATGCCTTTTTTTCAAATTAACTCCCGATAAGACTCTTCGCTTCAAGGGGGAAAAATGCTCGGGTGGAAAATTATCGAAAGACAGAATAACAGTTTTAGTGGCAGCCAACATGACCGGAACTGATAAAAGAAAACTCCTTGTTATTGGAAAGTCGAAAAACCCTCGGTGTTTTAAAGGAGTTTCATCACTTCCAGTATTTTATGAAAATAATACCAAAGCTTGGATGACCTCAGCAATTTTTGAAAAAACTCTTAATTATTGGGATGATGAGTTACGCCGTAAGAAAAAAAAAATTCTTCTGTTGGTGGACAACTGTCCAGCACACCCATCATTGCATTTGAAATTTATTAAACTTATATTTTTGCCCGCCAACACCACTGCTGTACTTCAACCAATGGACCAGGGCGTTATTAGGAACATTAAAGCTCATTACCGGAATCAGTTAGTACTGAAAATGATTGAGGATATTGAGAATCATGTAGAATCAAAAACAACTGTTTTGAATACCATAATAATGTTGGATAAAGCTTGGTGTAATGTAACATCGACGGGGATTACTAACTGCTTTCGGTATGCAGGTTTTTGTAATGTTTCGATCGATACAACACAGCTACAAGCAGACAGTGTATTGATTAATGACATCGATGAGAACTACGTAAAAATTGATGACGACCTCATAACGTCAGAAATTCAAACGGATGAAGATATAGTCAACAATGTCATAGCCAACCAACGAGTTGAGCCAGATAATGATACTGATATCGATGAGCTTAATGATGAGTTTGAAACTGTGCCGTCAATATCCGAAGCTCGTGCTGCATTGAGGACACTAGAAAGATTTTATTACACAAAATATGAAGGTACAGATGCTGAAAGAAAAGCGTTGTATTTATTAGAAACATCGATCAACATTAAATACACGCAGCAAAGTTCGATCAAAGATTATTTTAAGAAATTAAATTCAAGTGTTTTATAATTATGTTTAAGTAATATGTATTGATAAATAAATTATGTATTAAATCTCCAGTTATAATAATTAATAATAAATGTATGTAATAATGTATAAATAGTGTATGTGCATACATGAATAAATTCAGTATTAATCTCGATTATAAGTAAAATAAAAAAAGTCGTCGGTTTTATTTTTGTATTTCCCGCTTTTAATCGGCTACAACGAATGCTCGTTCTAACCGCATATAACGAGCTACCGGTTATAACGAGAAAAAACTAACTGGCCATTGAAACTCGTTATAACCGATTTCTACTGTACTTGTTGTGCTTCGTTCAGTTACGTATTGTATTATGAATCCCTGACAAATCAATAAACCATGGAAGACCGTTAAACTGGTGACTTTCTTGCATATAAATTGTGTTAAAAATTTAAAAATTTTTATTTATTTTATTCTATTTTCAAAATATTTGTACTACAATCGCAGATGTAGGAATGTACATACCAAATTTATAAATACATGTACCTTTCAGGTTTGTAACACAATTATCATGTTACATCGCCAACGGTATACCGATAAAGACGAAAATTCTAAACAGTCTGCAAACACTTACCGTTCTGGCGGTATAGGGCCCAGGTGTTTTAATAGCATAATGAGACTATATGATAAACCCAACGTCTAAAGGTCCATATTATCGGTTTGTAAAAATCTTTGCATTGTAAAATATGATTTTAATTTAAATTTACCATTTGTAATTTTGCGAAGTTACAGTAGCATCTAGTGTTTTTCAGTTTGTGTGTTACAATAGGTACATTGAATATTCATGTATTTAATATTTTTTTTTTCTCATAATTTATTTGAATATGTAAGTATCTTTTTCAATTAATAACTTATTTAATTTCAATAAAAGTATATGCTATTAAATATCATTTAATTATATGATTTTCCATTTGTATAATATATAGATACTACTAAAAATGGCGTTGTGCTCTAAACTGATGAGCCGCAACTTTATCATTTTATTCGTTCTTTTTGGTTGAAAATTAATATACGTACTATAATTATTGTATATGGC